TTCGTATCTATGTGTAAAGTGAAAGTGACTATATACTCACTTGATTTGATGATAATCGGGCAGCAATTCGTTTCCTAAAACGTTCGTTTCTAATAAAACCGGGAGTTTTATTTAGAAACCGGGCTCTACGAGGGTCGGGCTTCGAAACCGAAAAGATAAATTTTTCGGGCTTCTCGGGCTCTTCGTGGCGTATTCCGGGGGTTATAATCGATACCGGGGCTTTGGGGGATGTTAAAATGAAGAAAATATGAAGAAAATGGGCTAAAAGTGGCAATTTCCCAAATGTAGCCGAGAAGGCTCGCATGCCCTCTTATTTATAGGGGTCCGAAGGTCGGCTTAGAAGGGAGGAGTCAGCAGGCGAGGGTGCGTGGCAGCTGCTGGGCGAGGGTGCGCAGGTGGCTCGCACATGGGCTGCGCGTGCAAGGGGCTCGGTGTCGGCCTCTGCTTGGACCGCGGTCTAGTCCGAGGCTTCGGACGTGGCTCCTCCTGCGAGACTCAGACACGAGGAATGGGACATGTGTCGGACTCCTAGTGGACCACTTCGGATGACTCAGCAGCTCGGATGACTCAGCCATATTTCGGACATGTGGCATGTTCTAAGCGAAGGTGACGTGGCCGAAGCCACCTATGCGAAATTTTTCGGTTTTCGCGCCAAAACTTCTAAAATCCATAACTTTCGCATACGAGCTCCGTTTTTGACGTTCTTTATATGCACGCGTAGGTAAAATTACGCTCTACAACTTTCGTTTAGACTTCGTCGGCTAATTTTGACTTTATTTTTTATATAATTATTTTTAAAAGACCGGGACAGGAAATCCGTTAAAAATTGATCTAAAATTCGAGTTTTTAGCTGTCTACTGCTAAGCTGAAACTTCGAAAAATCATAACTTGCTCATACGAAGTCAGATTTGGGCGTTTTTTTATACCTACTCTCGGTTTAACGAACACTACGAGTTTCGTTTAGATCACTAAGGCCAAAAAAGTAGTTTATCGAAAACTCACTTTTTACGACATTCGGCACCGTGTCGGTTTTGTCGCGAAACTTCGACAGATCATAACTTCTTCGTTATAACTCGGATTTCGGCATTCTTTATATATCTGTAATCCTTGTCACACTCACTACAAGTTTCTTAATGAATATCGGTTTTATCTAATATTTATTTTTGACGCTCATTTTTATTCTTAATTAATTAAACCCTAATAATTAAGCATAAAACACATAATTCACATAATTCCTTTTCATTTCTTCAAAATGAGTTACAAAGGTTAACCTAGACTATAATGTCAATATTAATGCCTAGCCTAGAAACACGGACATTACATAATGGAAGTAAATACGGAACACATGTTAGGATGAATCAATAATAATACATTAGTTTTTCTGCTTATAAGGTTGGTCTTATTATCTGATGGCCTCACTGCTAAATAAACATTTGAATCTAACCCTTGGTTTACGATTGAGCAATGAATCTGTTCACAATGGATTATATCCTCTACATTATTACAAAACGAACTTAACAAAAAATATTTTAAGTTATGGAATTTGCTTTATGACCCGAAATAAGCATTTCTCTAATCATGTACATTGCAATTAATTAATCCAAGTCATTTTTGTAGCAATTAATTCAAGTCCTTCCTATACCAGCTCTATAGATCATTATCCCAACATCATAAACAAACCTACCCACATCAGATGACATAAAGCTGCAAATATCAATAAGCTTCCTCACATACATAAGATTATTATAGGTATGAGTGTTCAAAATATCCGAAAACCGAAAAACCAAACCTTAAAACCTAAAAACCGTACCGATTTTCAGGTTAACCAAATCGATAATTTTGAATTTTTCAGTTTGGATAACGGAACCAGTAAAATCTTCGGTTACGGTTCATGTTTTTTGCTACGAACGGTTAACCGAAAAGTCGAAATTTTATTTTTTTATTTTTTTTAAATATCGTTTATGTTTAGTCGTTTAAGTTAATATCAAATTATTTCTTAGAAATTTCCAATTACAATTAATAATCATCATATTATTTACATTTTCCATTTTAAACCAATAATTATCATCATTAACATTTGTAATAAATATACATAGGTTGATATAGATTAAAATTGTCATTTGCATTTCACCACCATTTCACATAAATAATTAAATATTTGACTATCTTTTATATATTAATTAAAAAAATATTTTTTTTATTTGTTGACATTATTTTCCGTATTCCATGGATATTTGATAATTCATTATTAATTTAATTATTAATAGAAGCAACAATATAATTAAACAAGTTATATGAATTATTCATTCTCATTCATTATTTTTTAGGAAATTTGTTATGGGGTTCGGTAATCTTAACATATTTTTATTAATTTGTAATGGTTAATTGGTTAACAGAATACTAGTTAACCTGATTTTCCGGTTTAGGTTTAGGTTCAAGAAATGAACGAACAGATAGTCTTGGTTAACCTTCTGAAATATGTTTTCGATTCGATTAACCATCCATGAACACCCCTAATGACAAGAAAGAATCCTAGGGGCAATATCGTCAAACGCACCCACAGAATAAAATTATTGATTAAGAACATAATTCAAAGGAGTATTTAAACAAAACCAAGGAATTGATTGATTAAAGCAAAATCAAGGACGATACCCTTAACTTACCTCTTGTTGCTGCTTCAAAAATCGAAGATGAAATCAGGAAGAATAGAAGATGACATGTTGTTGCTTATTAAGGGAAGGAGGAAGATGGTGACACCGTTTTCTATACAGAGCCAGCACACACATAGATGACGACTGTAACATCCCAAAATATGGTCCCAAAATTTTCATTTAAAAAAAAATAGATAAAATAGTATTTCCAAATATCATCCATACATCTCAAATAACCAATGTATCAAGTATCATATAAAATCAGAGTAAAACATCATATGCGAAATCCTAATAGTGTGTGCGATGCATTCATCCCGAGCTCTTCGCTTTGCAACCGGAAGTACCTGAAACATAAACTGAAAACAGTAAGCACAAGCTTAGTGAGTTTCCCAAACTACCCCATACCAATACGTAATAAATCACATACTGGGCCCCCGCCCGACATCGGGCCTCGCACGACATCGAGCCCCGCTCGGTTTACATATATGTTATTCTCAGGCCTCGCCTATCATTGGGCCTCGCCCGCTATACACATACAATCAATATCACATAATCATGCTAATACACATAATGATCATAAACTCTAGCATATGTTCCAGTCTTCAGGCCTCGCCTGGCATCGAGCCCCGCTCGGTATACATAGCACATATAACACATGCAAGGGTCACACAAACTCCTAGCATCCTAGCATAACCAATAAGGGTCGGCATTGGTGTCTTAGACCCGCTATAGCCCAGTGAGGAAACTCACCTCAAATGTTGAATCTCACAAAAAGAAATCTTTAGTTGCTGCCCTGACGACTCCTCGAGCTATCAGTTCAAGATAACACCCAATCAATACTTGGGTTCCAATTAATATCCAATAATCCATTCTTGGGTAAAATGACCTTTTTACCCTTGTCCTAATTTAATCCATTACTAAGGCCCAACTCCACCATATAAAAGGCCCAACACTAAATAATCTTCCAAGGCCCACTAATGGCCCACTTATGGACCAATTTTCCAAATTAGGCCCAAAACCCTCAAAATGGGCCTTACCCTAAAGCCCAATCATATCCATAGTCCAAAAACTTGATTTCAGATGGCCCACTATAGCCCAAAGCAACAAGTTCCAAGAAAATGGCCCAACCTGAGGTCCAAACAACGCCAAGCCCAACTGCCAGAGTACGCGGGGCTTACTCGGCTGTACGCTACGCGTACACGCAGCATGGCTTGTACGCTGCGCGTACGAGCTTGTACGCCCAACGCACTCACCCATTAAGCCTTTTCTCCATTAAGTCCTTAACCACTTAAGTCCAGGAGTCCTAGACACAGATCTGAATCATATACAACATATTAACCCATAAAGTCGACATCTTGGTGGCTTTGCATGCCCCAAATGGGCCCAAACTCGAAATATGACAATCTACTTCCATGGAAATGGCCATTACTCATGCATGGTTGGATTAAAGCTTCAAAGGTTGCAACCTTATGACTCTAGGACCCAAAGAACACCAAGAGTATCAACTCTAAGCTTTAGAAACAAAAGTAATCCACAAGAGCTCATCTATGGGACCAAAAGGGTCCAAAAGCTAAAACATGGAGATCTAAGCTTCTAAAGATCAAGATCAAGACTTTATACCTTGCTTAAGCTAGAAATGAAGCAGAAGATCCGGATCTACAAGCTTCTCCTTGAACCATCACCTTGCTCCAACCTTCTCTTTCTTGAAAATGAGACAAAACACATCAAAATGCACTCAAAAGACCTTTCAAGCTCAAGAACACTCAACAATGGGGTTAGGGTTTCGTGGAGGCTGGTAAAGAAGATCCTTAGGTCATAATGTTTTTTAAATAATGCTCAAACCCTAAATATTAGGGTTTTGGGGACTGGCCACGTACGCTGCGCGTACATGTATGGCACCCGCATTCATTCCTCACCGGTACGCCCAACGTACATAGGGTGATACGCCTCGCGTACTGCACCCCTAAGCCCAATAAGAAAGGATCCAATGGATCAAGGTCTAAATCATAACAAATAATTAACCCGAATTATTATAAATACTTTGGAAATTATCGAGGTTTACAACGACGTCGGTTCAGAGGAGGGAGGAGCGACACAAATGAAGAGAAGGGCAAATGAAATTAAAGTCTAGGTCAACGTTAGTTTTTTACTAGACCGAGTTAGACCAATTTTATGGACCGTGACCGGGTCAAATGTCCAATCTATACAAATCAAACACTTTGATCAGACCGAGTCAGCCGAAAACGTAGACCGAGTCAACCGAAAACGTGTGACCGAACCGGATCAGCACCCAGTCAAAACAGACCCTTATTAAACATAAAATCGACTTTGAACGATGAATAAACATAAAGTAAGACTGTTGGTTTTAGGATGCTGAACTCGTCGTCCAAAACCCTCCTTAAATCCTGTCACCGCACTTGAACATCACCGGCGACTAACTCCGCACAAAAACACGATTCCCGGGCAGACTTCCGTTCAAACACACACAACAATGTTACTCCGGCTGGTCGGTCGCGTCGGAAGAAGACCAACATCCTTCTTCCCTCAACACTCTTCTTATCGTCACATAACCCTAATGGCACACCCTTTTGCCCGTCGTTCTTCAAACGAAAAAAACTATGTAGACTACGTCCCACAACAATCGAGAAGGAACGTATCAGTGATGCGGAAATCAGCTTTCGAAGACCGAATACGTAGACTCATCCGCAACGATATCCAATATGAACTCGATCGATCTCCTCGTACCAAGGTATTCATGTTTCCCTAATTTCCCCCTTTTCATTTTCGTGTTTCCTCTTTGGTATTGGAATTCGTATCATTCTTCTCGTTCCAATAAAAAGAAAAAAAAAATCATATCATACACAAACCCTAATTAATATCCTTCCTCCCATCGAACATATATCTCGATTCTGCCCTCAATGATTGAGAATCATTAATTAGAGGAAATTAGACATTAGGAATATAGCGACTTTGGTATATTTGAGCAGTGCTATTGAATCGGAAAGAATGTAGGAGTAGTAATTATTTGTGATTGTTTTTTTTTTTTTTTTTTCCTGAAAGCATCTTACATCATGTGAGATGTTTTGAACTAGAACTGTAGATCCTGGTTTACAGACTTATTAGTGCATATTTTGTACAGCTTGTTCCAAATTTCAAATATTTTGCGGTTGATGAGAGGCCAGGAGAGCAATGGATCAGATTGAACAAGAAATTTGGAGAGGATGAAGAGATTAAAGTAGAGGTAACCATGTTCCGAGTTTCTACTCCTGCTGAAAAAGAAGGTAGTGTTACAACAGAGAACGATCTAGAGCTTTACATTTCAATGGTGATTGACATCTTTAAGGATGAAGAAAATGGTATTTTGGAGTTTGTGTGCAATGTATGGCCTGACAGCATTGAGATTGAGAAAGTTTTTATGCGTGACCAAGATGGAATGACTGGTAAACCCTACTTGGGTCCTCCCTTCAAGTAAGTTCCAAATCTTTGTTATTTTGCTTTCAGTTCTGGGATGCTTTATTTACACTGTTCTCAACGTGATATTGAGGAACAAACAAACTGGGGTTCAATGTTATTTATGATTCTGAACATATTTATAATTTGGTAACTTTCAGTGATTTGGATGATGAACTGCAAACTTCACTGTATGATTTCCTGGAGATAAGGGGCATAAATGATGAACTAGCTCTCTTCTTGCATAAATGTATGCAACACAAAAGTAAGAATGAGTATATTCGATGGTTGGAAAGCGTGGAGTCTTTTGTAGCACGGAATAAGTAAGGTCAAAATCACATTTTGGGTGGTGCTATTTTAGTACATGCCTTAACAGTAAGTGAACAGACTTATGAGAATACATTATGATTTATGATTTATCTGTGGAACAAATTTATTGGTGGAGGCTCTGTGGAATGGGTGACATTTACCTTTTCAAAAAAAAAAAAAAAAAATTGTTTACAGAACCACCATGTGGATATAGAGATATAAAACCTTGGTCTTTTGTTGCAGTAATAGTTGAATACTCTTACTTTTTTCTTTCTTAGACTCATTTTCCTTATCACTATTAGAAAGCTAGACCTATATTCTTGGGAAATTTAGGAATTTAAGTATTACCTTGGATGTGTGATATAGCCTATAGTGATGAGTATTTTTTTTTTTTTGGGAGACATCTACATATAGTCAACACGAATTAAAACCCCGTTAACCTTGTTCCTTCCCTTTGTATAAAAAAAAGATCAGTTAGCAGGTCAATGCTATTTTGTGAACAATGTAAAAAAATTCAATGGTAAGACTAATAAAGAAAAAAAAATAATGACCAAATATGTATAAGGAATAAAGTTCGTTACTCTAACAAGTCATTAATCCTATTTCAAATTGTATATAATCAATTTTAAACTTGAAATATAATTAATCAACTTATTGTATTGAACTGTACCACTTTAATTTCTACTTTATAGACAACTAAAAACTCAAAAATTAGGTTTTGAACCTTGGACAAGAGATATTGATGAAGGTACCATGGACCAAATAAAATCAAACGAGAGAGGAAAGTTTTAACATGTTTTATTAGAAAAAGAAAACCATGTCGTCTAATTAGCTAGTGTGTTTTCACAAATTAAATGATCAGTTTAATTTAGGATAGAAGTTAAAAATAGAGAAAATAACAAAACTAGCCAAAAATTAGTACTTATCCAAAACTAGCCATCAAAGCTTTATGAGCAATGAAATGGTCTACTTTTTCGCCGAAATAGTCTACTCTTTCGTATATGTATATAAGGAAAATAAATCATTTTTGTAAAACAAAACTGTAGATTTAAAATAGTCTACTATTTGGATCGTTATCAATATGTTATTTTTTCAATACAACACTTTTTATATCAATTCATTGAAATTATTAATTATCATATCATACATACTTATAAAGCTAGCATTTTTTCTTGAATCTCATTCATTTGAAACCCCATTTTTTAACTTCCTCAAACCACATTCATTTGAAACCCCATTTTTTAACTAATGCAACTCAAAAGTTTTTTAATTATGATTTAACATTCAAAAGTTTTATAACTTATATTATGTTTAATTAGCATTTAGTGAAAAGTTTACTATAAAAATGTCAATTTTTTGTGTCTTTCGTGTTATATAAAATCTTACATGTAAGAAGGATGTCATAAGAAAATGAAAAGAAAATTTTCCAGTAGGCACAATTCTTTTACAACGTATTTGCAGTGATGGAGTCCCTAAAAGAGCTCTACAAGTCAAGGTTGTGGATGAATGTATCATTTTTTACTCATAATTTGATCGTGTTATATTTTTTTCCAGTAATATAAATAAGACAATTCAAAATCATATGTTTAGAGATATTTTGTTTTCTCAAACCATACCATTCAAAATCATATGTTTAGAGATATTTTGTTTTCTCAAACCATATTGATTTGAAACCTACATAACTTTTTATATTCCTTAATTAAAACCATTATAGTATTTATAAATTTCCAATACTTTTTTTGCATTCTCTTATTATATATGTAGTTATATTAGTACATTTTTCTTACAAAAAATCGTCATTTGGTTGAAGATATTATAATTCAAAAGTTTTTTTATAGTTGAAGAATTCACGATCAAAATATGATGATTAGAAGAAATGGGTTATGTCGCATCGATGGTAATTGTAATATGATTTTTTTAACCAAAACAAATAAAGCTTTTCTATTCTTTCTTTATATTCAGTTTCTCATTTAATCTTTATATGTGCTTTGTGTATATTACTCAATCTTGAATGTGACTCTCCAAACATCAATGTTTTTCTTGGAATATCTTTCTGATTCTTCTTTTTCAAGAAAAACATTTTGATTGCAGGTTAGTGAACAAAGTTGACGAATGTTAGTTTTTTCTTTTGATTTAAATGTATGTTTATGTAACATCTTTATTTATATATTTAACCACTCAATGCTCTTATTTATTTGATTGTAGTTTTTCTATTTTGATTATGTTTATTTTCTATTATTTTTTTGTTGGGTTATCCTACACAACATATTTAAAAGACAATATTTAAAAGATAACATAATTTTTAACATTTGATATGTAATTACGATAGACTTATCATGATATGTTCTTCATATGAAAGTAATTTATCCATATTACTACGACAAGAATTACATATGACATTTACGAATATATATATATATATATATATATATATATATATATATATATATATATATATATATATATATATATATTATATGTGATTTGTTTAACATGTATATGCACCTATGTATGTTATAAATTTATAATTAAATATCTTTATGTTTAATAATTGAAGGGATTAAAATGATGCATCAAAACCAATTATTTAGACGAATATAATAATAATAATAATAATAATAATAATAATAATAATAATAATAAATACACATTTTCAAGTACCGCATTCATTTGAAACTCACACTACAACTCAAGAGTTTTCTAATTTATGTATATTTATTAGTTACAACTCAAGAGTTTTTAACTTATGATTATTAATTAGTAATCACTAATAACTTTTTATTTTCCTTTCTTTTATAAGGTTGTAAAGTTTTGCTCATTAAAAACATTAATGTATTTGAAGAGATTTATGATTTAAATATGAAGAGTTAATATAAATTTTATAATAGATGTTTTAGTGTTTTTATGTTATTAAAAGTTATAGTGTTTATTTTTCATATTTTTTATTATTCTTTGTATATATATCTTTTTTAATACAAATGTTATAATATATGTTTTTCTATTTTTATGTTACTAAAAGTTGCAGTTCATATTTTTGTTCATACATTTTGTTACCCGTTATATTATCATTCATTTGATATATAATTTACACAATTTTAAACGGTTTATAAAATTATCAAATAATTGTATATATCACAATGACTTAAAAATTAAACTATAATGTTTAATGAAACTAATATGTTAACTATATGTTTGCTTTACTACTAACATTTTGTTTCAAAGTAGAAATATTAAATAATAATTTGGTAAAAGTTATTATTTTAACTATATAATTCTATTCTCGCGCAACGCGCGGGGATTCGCCTAGTGTGGTATGTATATATGTATATTATTTCTTTCTAACTTTAGTGTGTGGTTGATTCATCTTGACATCTTATCAAATATTGGGTTATAAACAATGATGTTAACCTTTTCGATGAATTGTTAAATTCAACCACACACTAAAGTTAGAAAGAAATAATATGCATATCCTCCCTAATAAATCAAAATTTTTTTGCCACATGTCCTCTTCTCCTTCACTTGGACACATGTCATTTTCTAAAATTTTTGATTTTTCTATTTTCCACTTGTCATTTTATTGTATTTTTAATTTTATTAAATTAAAATTTCACATTTAATATGTAAGATAATATATATGTAAGATACTTATTAGAAAAAGTTTATATATATAACGTATTCAATGTATTAAAGCCTCATTAATTTTAATAATTTAAATTTTTTTCTCATTTTTTCTTATAAATTCAAACTTCTCAAATTGTTAAAATTTCATATTTAATTTTTTTTAAATAAACTCACACCTAGTAATCATATATATACATAATTAATAATTTCAATGAATTGATATAAAAAGTGTTGTTTTGCAAATGTTGTATATTGATAACCATCCACACAAGTAATAAGAAAAAATAACTACGAATACTAGTTAAATACCAACAAAAAAAATAAAAATAAAAAATAAACGAAACAGTAGCTTTTTGGCCGAAACGGTAGACCATTTTTAGTCTACGGTTTGGGAAACAGACCATCGAGAGGAAACCGCAGGCCATAAATGGTCTACGATTTTGTTTTTCAAAAATGATTTTTTTTCCTTATATACATATGCGAAAGAGTAGACAATTTCGGCGAAAGAGTAGACTATTTCATTCGCTTACGGTTTTGATGACTAGATTGGGATAAACGCTAATTTTTGACTAAATACTAATATGTAATTAAGGATTTTGGCTGTTTTTTTTTCTTAAAAATATATTTAATTTGTAATATAAGGTTTTATTTTTGGTTATTTTCGTGAAAATGGCTCCTAGGCCCACGTTTAGTTATCGTTAAAGTCTTAAAGATTATTTATATTTTAGAAAGATAAGACGGTATTGGGTTTTTTTTTAAGGGAAAATGACTTATTAAGGTAATTAACTTTTGGGTATGTTCACATCTGGGTAACTATCTTTTTTTTGTACATATCTAAGTAACAAACTTGTTGGAAGTGTTCACATATGACCATTATGACCTGCTATAGCAGGTTTAATCCTAGATGTGAACAGTTTCAACAAGTTCTTTACCTAGATGTGTACAAAAAAAATAGTTACCCAAATATGAACAAAACGAAAAGTAAAAGTAAATTACACGAATGGTCCCTGTGGTTTGGGGGAATTTGTGTTTTTGGTCCCTAACTTATTTTTTTAACTCGGATGGTCCCAATTATTTATTTTTGTTATGCGTTTGGTCTCTGTCTTACCTAAAAAGACTATTGTGCCGTTATTAACTTATTTTTTAATTATTTTTCTTATTTATGTATTTATTTTTTATATATTCAAAAAAATTAATAGACCTCACATATCTGTATCTCCTCACCATAAACCTCAAACCACATTTGAGAAATTTAATTCAGATGGTCCCTACTGTTTATTTTTTTAATTAATTTTCCATCTTTAGTAACATCAACGTCTTCACCTTCCTTCTTTTTTTTGGTACTTCAACATTTGAGAATTTTAATTCGGATGGTCCTTACTGTCTCTTCATCTTTAGTGGGTTGTGGTGTTGATTTGACGAAGTTGAAGGACAAAAAAAAAGGGATGATGAAGACGTCGATATCACTAAAGATGGAAAATAAATAAAAGTTGAGGAGGATGAGAGACGGGATGGTGAGGAGATACAGATATGTGGGGTCTACTAAACGCGTAACAAAAATAAACCGT